GCTGACCCAGGGCCCTTCCCTCCAGCACCCCCATCTGCTTCTGCAGCCACAGACCGCGGCTCCCACCCTGCAAGCCCTCCGCAGAGCAGAGACAGGGTGCTAGAAGCTCCCCCATGAGGGGTGCCAGGTTCCTTCTGCACCTTCCTCTGCCACCACCGCCCCGTCCCCCGCCCCTCCTCCACTCCTAGGTGACTCCACCCAGGAGTGCAAAGCTCTTCCCTGAAATGGCACCTGACACTGGGCTCAGCACATGTGTCCTCGGCATCTCCATGGGTCTTCACCCCAGCAGATTCCCCGAGGATCTGCTATGACCCCAGGCCAGTCCCTGGTCCTAGTCATAAGAGGGGTCATTCTCTCTAGATGGGACCTGCAGGTGGGCTGTAGCTGGGGTAGCCAGACCCCTGGGTGCCCTTTATGGAGAAGGGACAAGGGGTGGGCGCAGCTTCAGACTTTGGATGGACCTCCCAGGGACATCCCCAGCAGTTCCCAGGCCCCCTCTGACCTTACAGCAGTGCCCCTGTGACTTCCTATCTCCCCAGCCCCCTGCGCTCAAGATCCTGAGGGCCTCTTGCAACAGTGAAGGGAAAAAAGGCAGCATCTGGGCCACAGGCCGGCTCTTCCCTGTGAACAGCCATTAAGACTCAAACAGCCGGGCACAGTGGCACACACCTGTAATCCCAGCAGCTCTGGAGGCTGAGGCAGGAGGATCACAAGTTCAAAGCCAGCCTCAGCCATAGCCAGGCCCTAAGCAACTCAGTGAGACCCTGTCTCTAAATAAAGTACAAAAAAGGGCTGGGGATGTGGTTCAGGGGTTGAGTAACCCTTAGTCCTAAAAAAAAAAAAAAAAAAAAGACTCAGACAAGATGCTCAGCTTCTCTGAGCCTCAACTTCCTCATCAGTAAAATGGGCACGCCTCGGGAGGTGGTAAATCTGAACCCCAACAGAGTGCATCAGATATGCAGTAAGTTCTCGATAAATGTTTGCTGATATCATCGGGAGGCCTCTGTGAATATTTATCGAATGAGTAACTGAGGATGAAGGTGTGCTGCAAGGCAGCCCCCCCCCAGGAAGGGCGTGGCTCTGGCTGGGCGCCCAGCACCCTTCCTGACACTGAGCAGAAGCTGGAAAACATAACGAAGAAACCGCCCCTGAGCCTGGCCCTGCTCTTAGCACGTTTACCACAGCCCTCTGAGGTAGGCCCTGTCATTGTCCCTTCTGCAGATGGGGGACTCTAAGAGGGGACACCAGGCTGGAGTGGAAAAGGAAGCTGATAGACACCTTGTCATGAGGAAGATTGTCCAGGCAGGCCCCTCTTCCTCCGTCACAGCGCCCAGAGGCCAGGTCACTAACGTCCTGAACCCGCCCAGCTACCCTCGATCCATGACCCGCCTGTCCCCTCACCCCCTCCCTCATTTCCAAACCTGGCAGCCATCCCACCCACCTGGCCACGGAGAGAGTGGAGATGGTGCATGGACGGCTGCCCCACAACCAGAGAAAGGTCAGCTCCATAAAGCAGTTCACAGCGATGCCCCGGGGTGGAGCCAGGGTCAGAGGAGAGGGCAGGACCCCTCCAAATGAACACCAAGGAAACCCCGAGCCCTGGCCTCACCCTCTCTCCCAGGGAGGCCCCAGAGTGGCTGCCCTCCCTGGATCTCCTCCTGGGCAGCCCAGGGGCTGTTTGTGACTCTGGAAACAGGTACCTGGGGAAAATCCACATTGCTCCACAGAGATGTGCAACCTCCAGTGAATGGCTTCTGTGCCAGCCTCAGTCTTCTCACCTATACAATAGGATTAGTGACACCTGCTCCCCTCTGCTCCAACTGAGATGATGGGTGAGTGTCACATACCAACAGGCACCCATGAAATGTCCCTTCAGTGAGTGAATGATGAGATGGTCCCTTTCCACTTTTAAAGTGCTCTGGCTTTGAGGCTGCAGGGACACCACGGTGATGTCCCAGCCCTGAATGACTGAAACTACTCTGAGGACATCTCTACCGGACACAAAGGTTGCCTGTGCCCCTGCAGCCCAGCACCTGCAGGCACCAGGGAGACCAAGGATTCCGATTCCAAAGGGGATTCCCAGCAAATTGGCTACCTCTAAAGATAGAGGTACCCCGATCCCAGCACACAAACTGACCAGAAGAGGAAGAAAATGAAAAGGAGATCAAAGACACCCATGCCACCATACCCCACGATCAGCCAGTCCCCAGCCCCACACAGTCGCACACTCACCCACGCAACTGCTAACCTCAGAGACAGCCAGCACGCTCCAGAGTCACACACCACCAGCCTCGCACCCCACACCTCCCTCCAGCTCCCCACAGGTCCCTGTCCACACCCTGGCCCTGAGCCACCCCCTGCTCTGCACGCAGCACACACTCATACACTAATGACCCCACCCCACTCACACCCCAGCCTCCCCTGGCAGACCCCACAACACGCCCAGCCCCAGCAGGGAACTGTCTTCTGCTCCTGCGCCCCACTGAAAGCCCCACAACTGGGCGGGGGAGCTCCCAGGGCCTCTGCCCACGGAACAGGGCTCTGATTCTGCTAGATGACCTACGAAGGTCTGCCCTCTCTGGCCTGCGGAAGTGCCTGTGGCGTGGGGCAAACTGTGACCTCACCGACACGCACCCTGCCCACTCTCCTGCTCAGAAGGGCTAGGCACTGCGTGAGTCTCAAGGCAAGATGACCTGCAAGTCCCCTTGGGGGATCCCAGCAGTGGCTCCCACGGGGCCTGGCAGAGGGCCCGGCAGGCAGATCCAGGGCCAGGTCACCATGCCAGAGCTGCCCAAATCTCTGGATTCCAGGCCCCCTCCTGGGGTGGCGGTGCAGACCCTGGCAGTGGGATCCTGTCACATCACAGGTGGCAGGCATTAAGCTCTGACAAACAATAGCCACTCCTAAATGCTGTCCCCCAACCTGGGGACCAGCCGCAGGGAGCCCCCTATGTGTCCCACTCGGAACCAGGCCAAGAGGCCAGGAGAGGAAATGCAAACCAAGGACATCTTGGGTCCTCTGAGGTTGGTCCCTTCATCTGCCTAATGGGACATGAAGTGAGGGGAGGTAGACGTGGGTATTGTCCACCCCCACTTGCTCCCCCAGACCCAGGGCCCCCTCAACTCAGACCTTGGGCTCCATCAAGTCTCTAAGCGTCAGGGTATGCGTGAGGGTCAGTCTGGGATAAAACTGGCGTGATGGATGGTCAGGCATTGCCCAGCGGGGAGGGAAGGGACACTTGAGGAGGGGAGAGCAAGCAGCCTCTGGTTCTGCCCATGTCACTGGTTCCCAGTGGGGCTGCAGGAGAATAAGAGCTAATGGCCTAGAAGCCACAAGGACGGGAGGGTGGGAAAGATGACTTGAAGCCCAGCAAAGGGACTCAGCCAGAGACCCAGGCCTGGGGCAGTGGGTTGCCTGTGCACTGGGTCTGGCAGTGCAGGGTGCCGGGGCCAACTCCCAGGAGACACGGCACCCTGCTGCAGGCCCACTGCGGAGAGGAAGGGAAAGATTGGGAACCAGGAAGACAGGAGAGGGAGAAAAGGAGGACAAGGGAAGGTGGCCCCAGGAGGCACCACAAGCTGTAGAGCCCCACTGGAGGGACACCTAACGCAGGACAGGCCCCCAGGGCCCCCCACCTGCTCCTCTCAGCCACAGTGCCTCAGATGGGCCACACCCCACAGGTACACACGCCCATGTGGAGCAGCGGTCACACAGGGACCAGGCCTGCCAGCCCACTACCCTTGTGACTCTGGAGTCCCAACGCTTCCTGGGACGACCGCTGGGCCCACAGAACCATCCTGGGCTCCCACAGGGGTTCAACAGCCCACCAGCCAGGGTCCCTGTCCCTACATTCATGAAATCCTAGGGCAGCGCAAGGCAGGGCTGGACTGAGGGCCTGGGGCTGCCCCACAGAGCAGGGGCATAACTAGAGGGTGAATTACTCCCCAAAGTGACCAAGCCACTCCCATCATGATGACTTTTTTGTTTTTTGCCCATGAACTATTAGAACATCTCTCGACCTTGCAGATTCACCTCCTGGGACAAGAGCCCAACAAAGCAGCAGCTCTCTTTGTAGGGCAGAGACTAGGAGACGGGGGCCTTAAGAATGTCCCCAGCTACCTACTGGCCGCATGAATTTAGCTGTCTGGCCTCCCTCAGTTTCCCCGTTGTTATCTTAAAATGGGGAAACAATTCGCACACATTCAAGTGTCCTGAGATTTTCTGGGGAAGACCCCGGATGACACAGACCCCAGGACAGAGCCCCTCTGGGCCTTCTCAGAGGAAGGGAAGGCCACAGGACTACCACCCCCCACCCCCACTCCAGGGGAGCAGGTAGGCAGCACCTGGCTCAAACTCCCAGGGCCCCTGTCCCAATGGGGTCACCCTCAGGCAGGGCCTGGGAGGTCTGAGGCTCAGATCCCAACCTTTGGTAAGTGAATATGCATGATGTGGGGGCCACGGGAACAGGAGTCAACGGGTCTCTAAGTCACCTCGTGGTGGTCACTACTACAGTTAGTAGCTGTCACCACTAACTCCGCCCCTTTCTACCAGTTCAAACCCCTGTAGGGCAGGACACTGCGCTCTTCCTGACCTTGTCTCAATTTCCCCTCCTATCCCAAGGCGGGAAGGCCCTTCTGGGGGACAATGGCCTGGATTAGTACCTGGAGGTGAGCAGAGAGGTCAGGGGGCTTCGCCTTCCCCACTCTACCCTTCCTTCCAGGGATGGGTCCCCCCACTTTCAAATGGTAATCGATGCGGCCGTGGTGAAACATAATTAGTCTTGGGACTAGAAGGGTAAACAAATGCGTAATTCATGAATTTGCTAATTGTCCTTCATTTTGATCTTCTGCCATCTCTGCTAGCTTGAGTGACATACATCTCATGGCAAGGACTCAGAGAGTGCTGGGAGCGAGCCGCGGAGGCTGTTGGCATGGGAGCTGGACACCTGGTCTGACCCTCCTCCAGCTGCCCACCGCCTCAGACATCACACAAGGCAGGAAGCCCGTGGCACTCAATTGTTTATTTTCTGAAACTGTACACAAACGTAACATACTTTAACAGCCAGTCTATGGGGGAGATTGTTTGGTTTTAAATTATTATGAAACAGAACCTAAGGGGAGCTTTTATTAAATAAACATAAAGATGAGGATTTAAGGGTACACACCTGCATTCTACCAGTCATTTTCTTTTACTCTAGCTTCTGGGTGTGTGAGGATGGAAAAGACACATCGAACTGAATAAACAAAATCCGTTTATACCCTGAAACGTTGGCAGGCCACTCAAGCGATTGTTCAGAACGTCCATCTCACAGAAGATGGCCTCACCGTCTAATAAAAATTAAAACTGATCTGTTGGCCTCTTTGGTTCCAAAATTATGTATAATACATTTAACTGTATTCATTTTTTTTTTTGCTGCTATAAAAATAACTTCTTTTTTTCAAATGGCAGTTTCTGACTAACCCATGCAACTAAATCAGTGCAAACATTAAAAGCAATCATTCGCTTAAAAAAGAAGCAAAGGATTTCATTTCAAGTATAAAAAATATAAAAAGAGTCATACGAGTCCAGTTTCGTCTAGTGTGGGTCAACCCTTTAAATTGCATAGTTCACGTGGCACTTGGACATCTAGAGGGAGAGCGACTTCAGGACTTCAGTGCTCTCTCCCCCCGGGGGCCACTTCTGGACACGCGCAGATCGGCAAGTGCTATATCATGTGCGTCAGGCAGGTCAGCAAGTGCTATGCGGGGCAGGTAGGCAGGCGGGTGAGTGGGCAGGTGCCATGTCCATGGCTGGCCCCGGTGGCCAGGGCCCACCCACGCAGGCAACTTCTGCAAAGCAGTGAAAGCCTTCCCCATCTCTCCAAGGCCAGCAGAGTGGCTCCCTTCCCCCACCCTGTGCTGAGGGACACCCACCAGCATTTCCAGAATGCCTCTTCCACCTCTCATTGCCTCCTCTGGGCTCATCCCTTGCCTAGTGGTCATTCCCAGCCTCCCCCAACCAGTCCTAGAGGAATGTCCCCAGGGAAGGGCACCGATTGCAACTTTTCTTCTTCTCATTTTGAACAATTCCGTTTTTCGCGTCAAAGGTCATACCTGATAGAAAAGTCTTTACAGTTCTACAACTGGCACAAAGGACCTGTCAACTGTTGGAGATCAGTTAAAGCATCGAATTAAGACCCTATCCTCTCCCACCCTCCCCACCCCACAAACACACACACACACACACACACACACACACACACACGTCGTGTCAGGGACCCGAGTGACAAACAGTCGAATGGTCATTGCCCCTGCTCCTCAGTCTCTGACAGGCGGTGGACTTCCTGGGCCTCCTGCCCTCTACCAGGGCATGGAGGGACAGTTTCCCCAGGTCTCGAGGCATGGAGGATGCCAGGTGGGGAGAAAGGGGCTGCTGCAGCAGATCAGGCCTGGTACAGCCCAGGGGACACACAGCCTGCTGCACGGCTCCCCACCCTGCTTTTCTTCTCCATGGCACTCTCTCTCTTCCTCTCTCTCTCTCTCTCTCTCTCTGTCTCTGTCTTTGTGCTTTTATGTGTGCTCAGAAGGCGCGATTCAGAGTGGCCCGGCCAGCTGGTGGGAATGGTGGCTGCTCACCCCATTCTCTTCGATTGACAGGCATTGGTAGCTAAGCTGCCATTTGTCACCGCATCCATTTGCTGGTATCCTGGAGGCTGCTGTGTGGGTGGCAGGATGCGTCTGGCTGTGCGTGTCTACGTGTGCATTTGAAAGTCTCTCCTGTCAGCTGGGGGCTCTCCCTCTGGCTTTGACCGGGTTGCTGTATGGAGTAGTAGGCAATTCCCTCGGGCTTCACCCTGGCCCTCTCCCTGCAGCCCACGGAATGACCGCGCTCAGCCCACCGGGCACCTCCTGTTCCCGCAGGGGCTGGAAGAAGCCCACCGGGGACTGTCGTCCACACCCCACTGCCGCTGCGCCCCTGCCCTCCGCCATCAGGCGCAGCCACACTCCTCCACGATCATGTTGGGCACGTCCCGCTTGACGATGTTGTACTCGTCATCGAAGTAGAGCATCGACATGGAGCTCAGCTTGGTGGGGATGCAGCAGGAGTTCACAGGGCCGGGGTTCAGGCCCCGCATGCGGTACTGGTTCACCACGGCCGTGTGGAAGGAGGAGGCGGAGCCGGGGACCCCGGCCAGGTAGGCCGGGCAGCTGCCCTCGCAGTAGTTCCCGTAGTAGCCAGTGGGCGCGATGATCCAGTCATTCCAGCCGATGAGCCGGAAGTCGATGAAGAACTGTTGCCTGCAACAGAGGTTGGTCCGGCCATCGCACTCCAGGCCCCGCTTCCGGATGCGATGCCTGTTGTCACCCAGCCGAGCCTGCACCACTACGAAGGGCCGGTGTGACTCCTCACCAGGGTCCACGAACACTGGCACTACGGCCAGCTCCTGGCAGCTGTCACACTGCACATCCAGGTTGAGTCGTCGCTCACCGCGCTCGAACAGGGCTTGGATGGCCTCTGTGAGCGGGAAGGTGTGCCAGCCACTGCGCTTGAGGTCCACCTTCTTCTCCACCACATTCCACCTGTCGCCGTGGCCCTGCTCCTGGAAGTACACCTTGACCCGCACCTTCCGCCGACTGCCCTTCTCCAGCACGTAAGGCAGAAGTTTCAGGTAAAGCCACAGGCTGGCCTGCACCACGAACAGGTTCTGGTTGCCTTCGTTGGAAACGAAGAAGTACAAGCGGACCCGGGAAGAGGCGAGGCCATCTGCAGAGAAAGGGGAGAGCAGGCCAAGTGAGCTCAAGGAGAACAAGAGGCATCAGGGGAAATGGACTCCGCTGCCTCATGCTGGAATGCACACTTGCCACACAGCTGGAAAACGTTACCGACCAGAAATACCGATCCCAGAGCCCAGGCCTCTGCCTGTAACCTGGGAGAGGCAGAAAGAATCATTTCCCATTGAGAAACCTGGGCCAGGTTGGAGCTGGAGGGTCCCGGCTTCTAAGATCCGGCCTCACCTCTCCCAGGCCAGGACTCCCTGGAGACGGCCTGTCAGGCCTCAAAGCTCAACAGAGGAACTTGTCAGGAGGCCAAGATCTTAACAAGTTTTTATGGGTATCTGTGAAATCTGAAAAACAAAACCAGGATCGCAGGGAGGATTTTGGGGTGTATTATTCTAAGTAGGTTTTTTTCTTCTTTCTGGTTAACTTAGGGCATTGCAAAATCAAAGCTGAGCCACCTACCGCCTCTTTCCAGTGTTTACCTAAGTATGATCTGATCCAACCCCCAGTGAAACCTCCACAGCAAACAAGCCAGCTCTGCTCAGGTTTCCGACACAGGAACATGTGGCTTTGCAAGCTGCAAAGTGCAGCCCTTGTTTCCAAGTCGTTCCAAGGGACAGGACATTCAGCCTTGAAACTTGGAAGTCCAATCCTCTAACAAGACCCTGGTTCCCTGTCCATGAACGTTCAAAATCTCCAGGGAAAGCAGAGGCTGGTTGGTGAGTCTCTCAATAATTCAGCTCAACAAGAAGAGTGGCCCATGCCAGCCAGGAGATGACTCTCCTCTCATCCTACATTTGGGTGACCCTTCCCTTTGACAATCTCTACTTTTTCTCTTTCTTTAATTTTTTCTTTCTTTCTTTCTTTTTTCCAGGAACCAGGCAACTCCATGGACACAGTTAGTTTTATCAAACCTCCCACCATGCCCCCCCCAGACCCCCTTCTCCGGCCTTGCCCGGCTCCTCTAATAACACTGACATCTGACTTTGAAATGGGGGAGGCTGCAGCCTTAAAAGCTGCCTGTGACCTGAATCTGTTATTTATAAGTCAAAGAGCTGGCTCCGTGAAACGGACCAGAAATATAACAGCCCCCGCTGTCATTTTGTGCCACCGGGACCAAAAGGCCTCCTCGACCTTCCAGAGTCACATTTCTACCCTGGGCCCCAAAGCACCTTTTAATCCAAACCCTCTAATTGCATGTCGAGCTTCCCCTGACTCGGGCGGACAGCTAAAACGGCAATGCATTTCTTTCTAAGCTCAAACCAGCCCTGATTGTCTCTGCTTTTCTCCACACCCGGCCATGCAAAACTTTTCATCCCTTTTCATCCCCAGGCGGCATCAGCACGGTCTGACTGCTGCCTGGGGGAGCGTGGGGGGGGCATCTGCAGCCGTGGGCACCACCGACCCCCCTCTTCCCAGGCTCCCTGCTTGTCCCCTGTCCCTGCCTACACCGGTGCTTCCCCCCTGAGACCTTCTCTGCAGTCCTCTCTACACAAATGGGGCCGAGCTCCAGGCACAAAAGCCAGCCTGGCTCATTCAAGTCCTGAAAAGGACAGCGGAGCCGAAAGCACTTGCAGCATTTCAGCGCAGGCACGTTTTCCTCCTTCTTTTAAACTTCCCAAAGATTTTTCTCTCCCTGATTTTTAAAATTTAGACAGAGGTAGAGCTCTACAATCAGGTGCTGGGGGGTGGGGGGGGAATTCCAGAAAGGAGTCCTACCCTTTGTTAACTAGAAACTCTGCAGCTCGGACCAGAGGGCTGTCGCTGCTGCCAGGCAAGCCAAAGGCACGGGGCTGTCCCCGAGCCGCATCTTTCTGTGTAAATGATGGACCTGTTGAGAAGCCTGCCTTCCGCCCCATCCTGGTGCCCACACAATCGGAAGAGAGGTTGCCTAGCTCTCCCCAGCGAGGCTTCAGCAATCCTGGCAAGCCCACGCCGCCCAGCGATGGAAGCGGCCCCGGGGGCCTCTCACGCAGGCACACACACATACATGCGCACACACACACACACACACACACACACATACTCTCCTCCGGCCCACGTATATCAACAAGCACACACATCTCCATCCACACTGCTAAGCCTACACTCCGATCGTGGGAAACAAAAACATTAAGCAATCTCCAAGCAAGTGCCCACAGAGCCAGGGCCGCGCGCATCTGCCGGGAGGGGGACGCGCGCCCAAAGGCGCTGGGGCCCGATTCCCAAGAGCAGGGGTGAAGGGCCCGGCTCTCAGCTGCGTGAGTGGGGGGACCAAGAAGGGGTCTACAACCTGGGGGAAGAGAAGAGCTGAGCGCGGGGGGCCGCGGGCAAGCTGCTGGGCCGTGACTCCAGGTTGCCCCTGGGGCGCGCCGGCTGTGGTGGCCGCAGGAGCTGGCAGAGAGGGAGGGAGGGAGCGCGGGCCGCTACTGGCCGCCCGAAGGCCATACCCACCTGTCTCAGCAAAGCTGATGATTTCGGAGACGCGCTCCTGGCCGTCGGCGCCGGGGCTGGCGTGGCCGTCGAGGTGTGGGATCTCCACGCGGCCATCCTCGCGTACCTTGCCCGCGTGCAGCTTGCGCAGGGCCGTGACCATGGCGGCCTTGGGCACAGCGTGCGTGATGTTGGGCCGGCCCCGCAACTGCAGGCGGTTCAAGATGTGCCGCTTCACCGCCTCCAGGAAGTCGCCG